GAGAGATCTGCTGTTAGCCTGATGGGATGTCCTTTGTAGGTAACTTGATGTTTTTCTCTTGCCAATCTTAGTATCTTGTCTTTGTCTGTGGTTTTGGTCAACCTGGCTATAATGTGTCTTGGAGAAGATCTTCTTAGGTTGATTCTATTTGAGGTCCTTTGTATTTCTTGTGACTGGATCTTTCAGTGCCTCTCTAGGTTTGGAAAGTTTTCTTGCAGGATTTCATCGAATAGATTATCAATGCCCTTATTGGTCTCTTCGCCTTCTGGAATGCCAATTATCCAGATGTTTGGATGTTTGATGATATCTAGTACTTCTTGTATATTATTCTCAAACTTTTGGGCATTTTTCTCAGTCTTTGTGGTGGATTTTTCTAGGACAGCAATTTTCTCTTCTACGTCTGAGATTCTATTTTCTGTATGATCTAGTCTGCTTTTAATACTTTCAAGGGAGTTTTTGACTTCCTGTATTATAGCCTTCATATATAACAGTTTCATTTGATTATTTTTTAAAGTATGTAATTCCTCTTTTAGATCTTGTAAGAATTTCCTCACCTCATGGAACTCATCAACTTCTTTCTCCTTTCTCTTCTGCAATTCATTGTCTCTCTTCTCTTCCATCTCTGTTAGCTTCACCATTATGAATGTTCTAAATTCTTTATCAGACATTTCCATGATTTGCACTGAACTGCTTGTGGATGAAGAGAAGTTATTCTTTTCCCTTGGAGGAGAGGTATTTTCTTGCTTTCCCATATTTTTTGTGGTCCTGCAGTGATTTCTAGTCATCTGAGCAGTGGAGAGACAAGAAAAAAGAAAACGAAAGAGAGAGAAACAACAACAACAAAAAAAGATGGAAAAAAAATAAATTTTAATTATTTTTCATTAAAAAAAAAGGCACAAAATAGAAAACTGCACGGCGCACGAGTGCACCATGCAAAATGACTACTTCACAAGAGTCATGAGGAATCTTCTGCTGAAGGCCTTGCCTCTCCTGCCTGGGTGTGGGCATCAGAGTGGATTATTAACAAGACAAAAGGCGGAGCTGAGAGCAAGAGAGGAACTTTACCTTTAAAAAAATTTTAAAAAGGAAAACTTTTAAAAAATGAGAAGATGGGAGCAGGAGAGACAGAGACACAGAGACAGAGATAGAAGGCTAGATAGAGGAGCTCTCTACCACTCTAGCTTGTTTGTTGGAGGCTGAATTATCAGTAGGAACTCTTCATTTCTCTTTTACCCTGAAATGACCTATATTTTAAAATTTTTGTATATTATTTACTTTGAGATCTTTGACCCATGGATTTTCTTTTTTTTTTTTTTTTAAGTGTGTTATTAAGTTTTCCAGGGTTTGGATATCTTCTTGTTGTCTTTCTGTTACTGTTTTTAAATTTGATTCCATTATGATCAGAAAACATTCTCCAGATGATTTCCCTTCTTTTCAATTTGTTGAGGTTTGTTTTATGGGCCAGGTTATGGTTCATCATTAGAACCTGAAAACAAAAAGTTTATTCCGTGGTTTCTGGCCAGAATGTACTCTGTGTAAATTACATCATGTTGGTTATGTTGTTCAGTTCTTCTATATCAACAACAATTTTGTCAATAACAGTTCTATCTAATTGCTGAGAGTGGGGTAATAATATCGCTAACTGTATTTGATAGTGTCAATTTTTACTTCTAGCTCTTTCAATTCTCACTCTATCTCCTTCACATAATTTCACGTACAATTAATCTTCAGTGTTGCAATATTAGCCAATGCTACACATGAGATGGCTGGAAGGGGCTCCAAATATGATCCTTTTTGACAAATTAAAACAGAAATTTTGTTATAAAATAACATTTAGACTCACCTTTACTGAACAATGTGCTAACCATAAAGCCAAATAATATTGAAGCGATAGCATAACACAGAAGAAAGACAAAGAAGAAACTATAGTCACTGTAGCGGAAGATTGGCTCACTTGAAATCTACAATAAAACAATTATAACATCAGGTAAGGTACACAATAAATAGTGTCTTATAAGTCTAAGAGAAGAGGAAGAAAATTATGATCCTAATGAAACAGATCAATTGAAACTCAGTCAGGTGAAAAGTTAACTACAAAGAATAACACATTTGTGGGACCAGCAGGTAGCATAATGGCTATGTTGCTGGACTCCCATGTAGTCAACCGCGTGGTTCAAGTCCTGGACCTGGTGGTTTAAACTCACGCCGGGCACGTATGTGTGTGTGCGCAAGATCCCGAGAGAAGAATGGACGAGAAGGGACTGTGGTGTGGCCATCCCCCCTGGGGGGTGATTTCTGTCTCTCGGTCTCTTTCTGTCTTTCTGTGAGCACACACGCTCTATAGCAAAAAAAAACCAAAAAAACAAAAAACAAAAACAAACAAAACAAAACAAAACACATTTGTTACAAAAGGGTTCAAGTCTTGCTGAAAGATTTAGGAGCATATGAGTTTCCACAGCAGACTCAGTAAAAACTTATTTCATTCTCCTGATAACCTGAGCCACTCAGGCCTACACCAATCAGTGTATACCATAATTACGCTCTTCTTTTCAAATCATAACTGCAGGAGGCTGCTATCAACTAAAAGTAAGCTATCTAATATAATAGCTATTAACTGTAGCTACAATAGCATAGCTATTTTGACTGAGGAATTAAGATTTTTAGTTTTATTTAATTATTTTGAATTTAAGTGAAAAAACCAAAGCAGTATCAAATACATATCAAATATTTCTAATGAAAATTAAGTACCCGAATTGAGATGTGTTATAAATACAAAATACAACATAAAATTTTGAAGACTTTGTACAAAAAAGAATATAAAATAGATCACTAATTTTTTAATTAGTTGTACACTGAAAAAATATTTTATAAATTGGGTTAAATTAAATATATTATTAACATAATTCAACCTGTTCCTTTTTATTTTCAACAAAATTTAGTGGCTAAAGAATATTTATATTATATATGCTCATTATGTTTTTATTAGACAATGCAAAACTAGATACTTGCCTTGGTAAAGAATAACACACAAACCAAAGAGATGATAATAATATATAAAAGGAAGAATGTGAAGAAATACGCAGCCCAGATCATCCAGCCCCTGAGTCCAATTATGAGCTGGTATTCCTGCAGGAAAATCCACACAAACTAAATATTATGTTTATCTGCAATCTGCAGGCTTTTACATTTTCTAATTCAATTCCCATAAAAATCTATATAGATGGCTACTATTGTCTCTGTTTCATGAGTGAGAAAAATCAAGGACAGAAAGTCTACTGTTTGGGTCAAAATTATATAATCAGTAAGCATATTTCTAGCATTAAAATACATTCCTCTCAAGTTCAGAGATTTAAAAAAAAATACTATACCTGATATAGGACCAGAATAGAAAACATTTCATATCAAACTTCAAGCATTACAACAACAAATCTCTCTTTTCTATTAAACTCTGATTTCAGGAGTATTAGAGAAATGTTTATATGGTAATGTGCCTTTTTCCTCCTAAGGTTACTTTCAACATTTTCTCTTTATCTTTGGTTTTTACCAAATATGTCTTGGTGAGTTTGTATGCCTGTGCACAGATACATGTGTTTTTATTTATCCTCATTTGTGTCCTTTGAGTTGCTTGTCTTTGGATTTGTGGTTTCAAATATGTCATTAATTTTTTTAAAATTCCCTACTATTATTTCCTTAAATATTTCTTTTACTTTATTCTCTCATCTGCCTTTTGGGATGCCAACTCCACACATGCTATCAATTTGATATTGTTCTATACCTTTTAGATATATCCCTCTAGATTTTTATTTTGCTTTCTCTTTGCATGCCAGGTTGTGTAATTTCAACCATCTTATACTCAATGTTTTGATTTTTATTTTGTTTCCCCCCCCTTTTTTTTTCAATTTGTGTAATTTCAACTGCCATATATTCGATTCTCTGATTCTTTCCTCTTATGAGTCCACTGATAAACCTTGTCCAAGGCATTCTTTATTTCTGTTAAAGTATCTTTTTTATTTACACCAATTCCATTTAGCTCTTTCTTATAATTTTGGTTTTTGGCAGCATTACCTGTCTGAGCTTGCATGTTGTCTACTATACAGAAAACGAGTTAAAATACGGAAGTCTGAGACTGCTGTTCTCAGAAAGGCATCTACACAAAGTTAGCCCTGGGCTGGCATATGGGAATTTGGCTAATAAACTGTTCTCTACACTGATATGAAACATTTATTAATAGATAAAGGTGGTAGACTGCATGTACAAACAATATGGTATATGCTGCATATCTATGTACTAGGCGTTTGAAATTTTGGTAGAAGGCAAAGGGTTCCAACATCACTAAATCCTAGTCAAAACCTTAGGCTCCAAGATTCTAATGGGTTTCCCTGGACAGGAATATCATAAACATTTGACTAGATTTCCACTGTTGGAAGGGTGTGCATTGTGTGTGACTCTTGTGAAGTTACATGAGAAGGCCTGCAGGCGAATTCCTCTAGGTTTTGCCTGTGTCTTTTCTCCTTATGACCCAGCTATGTATCCTTATTATGCCACTACAATAAATCCTAGCTAAGAGTTCCATGAGTCCTTCTTAGAAAGAAGCGTGGTCCAGAGGATCCTGGACATATATACCTTTACCTTCAGAGCCTTTACAATTGTAATCAGAGTAATTTTAAAGTGCCTTATGTGACATTTTGAACATAAGCCTTAAGTGAGGCTGTTTCTTACTACTCATTTGCCTCTTTGGGCCGTGTTTGTTTCTGGATTTTTGGTATGCCTTGTAAATTTCATTGAAACTCAGACATGTCTGAGGCAATATATGCCTTTAATGGGAGGATTTATGCTACTTTGGTCAACAGTTGGTTGTGTCTAAAGTTCATTGTTGTTCTAGGTACCAATGAATTCAAATTCCTCTAGTTTTCTTGTCTCCTTCTTTGACTTTGGGATTCCCTTTGTATTGCTCCTCAGAGATTGTCCTGGAAACTCTCTCCCCTTGAAAAATTGATAAGAAGCCATCAGTACTCACTCTCCCTGGTCTTTCCATATTTGGATTTATTGTTGCTGGGATGTAACAACTACCTACAGTGCTGAATATATAGAAATAATCCAACTCTCCCTAACAAAGATCTCCATAGGCTTAAAAAAAATCTGTACAGAGGGACCAGCAGTTAGCGTAATGGCTATGTGGCTGAACTCCCATGTAGCCGGCCGCGGTTCGAGTTCTGGACCCAGTGGCTTAGAAATCACACTGGGTGCATGTGCGTGCGTGCCCAAGATCCTGAGAGGAGAATGGAGGAGAAGGGATTGTGGCATGGCCATAACCCCTAGGGGGTGATTTCTCACTTTCTATCTCTCTGTTTCTCTCTGTCTTTCTGGCAAGCACACGTGCCCCATAGCAAAAACCTCTCCAAAAAAAAAAAAATCTGTAAAGAAACTTTATCAGAAAGTAAGCAAGATTACCTTCAATCTCTTCTCTTTTTCCCACACGATGGATCGCATGATGGAAAGTACAGTTGGAGAGAACATGAGTATGAAAATCAAAGGAAGGAAAGGACTAGAGACAAACAGTAATCCATCGTGAAGGTAAGCTGGGTATGGAAATCTCTGTACGAAGATGCTGATACCATCAAACAGTTTTTTCCCGGCACTGCTCTCGTGGTACAGCATGATGGCCTTATCCAAGGCGTGCTGTATAGCCAGGAACCCTTCCCTGATATACCCTGCATCATAAAACAAACACTGTCAAAAAAACAGATTGAAAAACTGCTCAGAAGTAGTAAATTCAAGTAAGTCATAGCTTGTCACATACAGAATCTAAAACGCCTCTTCTATCAAGACTAGTTGGACATAATTATCCTGATAATCTATCATAGTTTTATAAGGGATACTTCTTCCCAAGATTGAAATATTAATGACAATGCCAATGTCTATTTATAAAAAGAAGGCAAATTTAATTACATATTAGAGAGATGAAGTCTTAGATATATTACATGTAAATTTGTTTTTACATATATTATATAAAAAAAAAGAATGAATGAAACTCCAGAAACAGACCACGTGAAAAAAGATGAATTATATCAGACAAAAGATTTCTCTTCAATAAAGAATGGCATAGATAAGATCGGAAATTGGAAAAATATTCTTTTAATACTTAGAACCAACAGTATATGTAGAATACACATAGAATGCTTGACTAATTATGAATTTTTAAATAAAGCATTTTTTGGGGGGGAGAGGTTTTTTGCTATAGGGCACGTGTGCTCGCCAGACAAACAGAGAGAGACATAGAGACAGAAAGCGAGAAATCACCCCCCAGGGGGGATGGTCACGCCACAATCCCTTCTCCTCTCGGGATCTTGGGCACGCATGCACACGCACCCGGTGTGAGTTTTAAGCCACTGGGTTCGGGACACGAACCGTGGTCGACTACATGGGAGTCCAGTGACAAAGCCATTACACTAACTGCTGGTTCCCTAAATAAAGCATTATTATATTATTTGAAAAACGGGGCTCTATGCACAGATTGTTGTTTTTAAGTTTTTTTTTTTTTTTTTTGAGAGGTTTTTGCTATAGGGCACGTGTGCTCACCACACAGACAGAGAGAGACTGAAAGACAGAAAGCAGGAAATCACCCTCCAGGGGGGATGGCCACGCCACAATCCCTTCTCCTCCATTCTCCTCTTAGGATCTTGGGCACGCACGCACATGCGTCCCTGTTTTTTTTAAGTTTTAAAATACTAAAAAGGTTACTTCATGAGGTGATATAACTTAACTATTAAGCATGGTTTCCCACGACATCCTTAATTTGTGAAATAGCTATCTTACACTTCCACTCACTTTCCATCCACTCCTTAACCTTCATATCCTTTTCTTTTTTTTGCTTACTCCTTCTTAATTTGGTAACAACTTAACAGTCCTTCAATCTATTTTCTCTGACACTTCCCCCTCCCCAAATTAGTGTACTATTAAGGCAATCTAGGTGTATATTCCCTGACCTCAAGTAATATGCTACTCAAAGACCAAAAGTGAACTGACAAAATAACATTCCAATGTCTGAAAGAAAAAAAAGACATTTTCAGAAATGTCATATTTTTTTTTCTCGAGAGAGATAAGAGAGAGCGAGCAAGAGAGAGAGAGAGATGATTTTGCTATAGGGTGTGTGTGCTCGCCAGAGAGAGAGAAAAAACAATGAATCACCCCTCAGGGGGATGGCCACGCTGCAATCCCTTTTCTTGGTGTTTTGGGCACACATGCATCCACACCCAGTGTGAGTTTCAAGCCAGACTTGAATCAAGGTCGACAATGTGAGAGTCCAGTGACATAAACCTTACTCCATCTGCTGGTCCCATTCTCAGAAATATCTTGATCAATTATATAAGGCGCTATTATACAAATTGTGAAACAGATTGTGGTCAACTCTGTTCAGCAACTGTATAAAACAAAAGTATATTCAAAGGCAAACAAAATGAAGAAGTAAACTGTGAGTGCTATCACTAAGAGAGATGCAACTTCCAGGAGAAATTTCATACTTCTTTCCTTCACAGACTAGGTTTTTAATAACTTGTTTACCCTCCATACTCATCTCTAATAGCCTCAAATATGTGCCTTCTATTATAGCTATAACATTTAATAATAAACAGCAAGCAAACAAAACAAAGTTCCCTGAATGGAATATCCTGCCTTGCACGTATTCATGATCTTATTTCCACTGCCTGCAATTATTATCACGACCTCCAACTCCATCCAGGTCATGCATACAGGTTCCCTCAGGTTTCAATGCTTTCTTTCTTAACAGACTTCATGAAGATTGTTTTATTATTTTATTTTAAATAAATTTGCTATAGAGCATGTGTGCACACTGGAGAAAGAGAGAAAGAGCGTGTGCAAAAGCTCATTTCCTCAGGGGAGATGGCCATGCTGCAATCTCTTCTCCTCCATTCTCCTCTCAGGATTTTGGGCACATACACAAAAGCTCAGCATGTTTTTCAAGCCTCCAGGCTTGAGACTTGAACCACACTGTTGGCCATGTGGAATTCAGCAGCCTTAACCACCATGTCACTAACTGGACCAAGATTATTTTAAATGGCTGCCTATTCAGTTAATCTATTATCCTATTGGTTATGGTACTTTCAGTTTTTGTTGCTAATGCTAGAATATGCATAGATTTTCTCTTCTATTGAACATAAATTAAAGATAACATTTCAAGATAGTTGGTAAGCCCAAATTCCACATTAAGGACTTTTCATATAAGATAATATGCAAAATAAACATTGTGACTAAAATTTACTATCACAATTTAAAACTTTTATTTCAAATCAACAGAATTATATGTAGACAATGGTAGTCAGGCAATACCAACAAATAAATGTACAGGTATTTGGAAAGCAAAATATTAAACTACAGCTATACATAGATAAATTGATATAAGAATTGAAAGAGGGTAATGAGTGAGCGATAACTTGAAAACTAGTTATGGAAGAATATACATTTAACCTTTAAAATTACCATGAATTAAAAATAAATGTATTTTCAAATCTGTTAAATAAATATAAACGAATGTGTACATTTATGCACTTGTATGCCTCTGTGATAGTAAGATAAATATGCTTAAGACTCTGCTTACCAGGACTTCCTCCATCAGGATATCCTGGGTTCCTAGGTCCTAAAGAGGGACGGTTGGGAAAGAGAAAGGCTGTTTTCCAGCCTGTCCTGTCTGGCCACGAGATCGACCTCTGTATCCTAACAAAACGCAGATGATATTTTACCTAGAAGTAGCAATAAGAAACAAGCTATGTTTGGAACCAAACAAAAATGAAAGCAAATATTAGAAATGAAGACAAGTTCAGATGGAAAACCATGTGATTTGTCTGATGTGGAGGTAATCCTGAATGTCACATCTACTGGGTCATCAGAAAAGTCATGATGCGTTTTTGCATAGAAAAATACGTCATGACTTTTCCAACAATCCAATATATTTAAATTTCACTCAAAATGTGGACAATGCACAAAACAAGATATAGCTATGGTCCATAAAAATATGAAAAGATTCTGAACATCATGAAATGAAATAGATGTAAATTAAAACTACAAAGATATCTTCTTTATTTTTCATATTGGCAAAACTAAAAATCTCAACAACAAGCATTCGATTAGGAAAAGAAGAGGTGAAATCACTTCTATTTGCAGATGACATGATTGTATACAAAGAAGACCCGATGGTAACCACGAAAAAATTCCTGGAAGTAATAAATGAGTAAAGTTGCAGGATACAAAATCAACATACAGAAAACTATAGCATTTCTATATACGAACAGCAGGCAGACTGAGATAGAACTGAGGAAAGTAATTCCGTTTACCAAAGCCACAAAATGTATAAGATACCTAGGAATAAATCTAACCAAAGAACTTAAAGACCTCCACAAAGAAAACTATGAGAAGCTAAAAAAAGAAATTGAAAATGAAAGAAAAAAGTAGGACAGCCCATGTTTCTGTACTGGAAGAATTAATATAATAAAAATAGCAATTCTACCCAAATTAATCTACATATTTAATGTAATTCCAATCAAGGTACCAGAGGTATTCTTCACACATCTAGAAAAGACAATCATAGAATTTGTCTGGAATTATAAAAGACCTCATATTGCCAAAGCAATCCTGCACAAGAAGAGTGGAGTAGGCAGCATCTCATTCCCTGACCCAAAAATATACTAAAAAGTTGTGATAATCAAAACAGCATAGTACTGGCACAAAAACAAACATAAAGACCAACAGAACAGACTAGAGAACCAAGAAATAAACTCCCAAAAATACAGTCAACTGATTTTTGACAAAGAGTATCAGTCAATCCTGTGGGAAATGAAAACCTCTTCAGCAAATGGTGCTGGTAAAACTGGATATCCACCTGCAGAAAAATTAATCTGAACCCCTACTGACCATCACTGACAAAAATCAACTCAAAGTAGATCAAAGACCTAAATCTAAGACCTCAAACTATAAAACTAGGGGTGGAAAACACTGGGAAAACTCTGGAAGGCATTGGGGTAGACAAAGACTTCTTAAATAAGACCCCCAAAGTGCAGTCAATAATCCTAAAAATAGACAAGTGGGATTATATCAGAGTAAGAAGTTTCTGCATGGCAAAAGTCACAGTAATTAGTGTGAATTGACAGCCCTCAGAATGGGGAAATATTTTTGTAAACTATGCATCAGATAAGGGATTGATAACCAGAATACATAGGGAACTCAAGCGGTTATCTGAAAAAAGATGATCAACCCAATTAAAAGATGGGAGAATGAGCTCAAAATACCACTCTCTAAGGAAGACATATGAATAGCCAAAAGGCATATGAAAAAATGCTCAATATCCCTCATCATAAGGGAGATGCAGATCAAAACCACAATGAGATACCACCTAACCCCAGTCAGAATGACTATGATTAAAATAAATAAATAAATAAATAAATAAATAAAAGTGCTGACAGGGATGTGGTGAAAGGGGAACTCTCCTACACTGCTGTTGGGAATGTAAATTGGTTCAGCCATCAGGGAGAACAATATAGAGATTCCTCAAAGGTGTACAAATACCATATGATCTAGCAATCCCACTCCTTGGTATCTACTCAAAAGAAAGAAGAATAATGCTTAGTCAGAAAAGAGCTTGCACGTCTATGTTTATTCTGGCATTATTCATAATTGCTAAGACAATGAACCAACCCAAATGCCCATGAACAGAGGAATGGATTGAAAAAGTGTGGCCCATATACTCTATGGAATATTATTCAGCCATTAAAAAAAAAGCAAGAAGGCCCTGGAATTCGATAGAAAGTGGATGAATATGGAAGATTTGTTGCTGGGGGAAGCAAGTCAGGTCTCCAACTTAATATATACCGACTGTCTGCAATCTGTGGCCGAAACTGAATGACTAGAGGATATAGAAACATAGAAAATGGTTACAGATACCAGATACAATGTGGGAAGAAGGTGGGAGGAGGAGAGTCTGAGGAAAGACATTAAGGAGAAAAATAGAAACAAGACATTTATGGGGCGAAGAAATGGGTTATTATCTATTCATAATAAAGTGTATAGTATCCCCAACTGGACTGGTGGAAATGTATTTATGTTAAAACATTCACTTTACAAGCTAAGTGACATAATGTGATTGAATGTATAAAAGAAATTAAAATAAAATAAAATTTTAAAAGCATAATAATAAATAAAATTAATTAAAAAATGATTATTAAAAAAAGCCTAGTTTTGGTGACAAAATAGCTACTTTAAGGAAACTCAATGAACTTCAAAGAAATACAGAAGGAAAATTCAGTAACATATTAGAGAAACTTAACAGGGACATTAAAATAATTTTAAAAAATCAAATAGAAATTCTGAAGCTGAAAAAGACAATATATGAAATTAAAACTATAAGATATAGACAATATCAACAGAAAAATGGATTGAACAGAAGAAAGAAAGCAGGAAAAACATTGGTTTAGGCAAGAATTTTTTAGATAAAACCTTAAAAGCACACCAAAAGCTAAGGTAGATATATAGGATTACATTAAACTAAAAAACTTCTGCATAGAAAAGGAAACAACCAGAAAACAACAACAACAAAGCAAAGAGACAACCTATAGCCTAAAAGAAGATTTGCAAACTATGTATCTGATAAGGATTAAATATCCAAAATATGAGTCAACTCAACAACAAAATTTTTATAATCCAATTTAAAAATGGGCAGAAGGCATTAATGAACATTTCTCAGAAGACATACAAATGGCAAACAGGTATATTAAAAAGGTTCAGCACTGCTAACTATCAGAAAAAATGCATATGAAAACCACAATGAGATATCATCTTACTCCAGTTAGAATGGCCACCACCCTAAAATCAAAAGAGCAAGTGTTGGTGAGGATGTGGAGAAAAGGGAACCCTTGCATACTGTTGGGGGAATATAATTAGTATAGCCATTATGAAAAACAGTATGAAGTTTCTGATATGATCCTGCAATCCTATCACTGAGTGTACACCTCAAGAAAAAGAAATCAGTATGTCAAAGAAATATCTGCACTTCTATGTTTATTGCAGCACTATTCATAATAGCCAAGATATGGAATCAGCCTAAGATCATCTGTCTAGGAACAGATGAATACATAGAGAAAATGCAACAAGGCTGGCCCTGCGGCCTAGCAGCAAAGGAACCTGGGTCCAACATGGATGGCATCCTGATTTGATCATTATACAATGTATACATGTACTGAGATACCAAGTTACAACCCATAAATACGTAAAATTAATATGTATAAAATATAATGAGAGAGACATCAAGTTTAAAATATTGTCTTCTTTTCTTCCTATAGACTCTAGATTCTTCCTCAATCCTAATGTCCTATTTCTGAATAAATGTGTTTGAGCTGTAGTCTTTTACACACATTTATGAAAGAAATAAAATTCTGTTTTTCATTTAAAGGAAAGATTTTTTCCATGCTTGGTTGTCTGTCACTGAAGATATGTCTGCTGTGAAGCATATTATTATTACTATTATTTACTACTCTGAGAACTAGAGGGGCTGCTTTAAGTAGGCAAAATTCCCCGTAAATCTAAGGTGTAGGTTATGAAATATAGTCTTATCAACATAATGCAACTTAAGAGCACAGGCATTAATGTTACTCAGATCTGGATTCATAATCTTGATCTACTGTATACCAAAGTATAATCTTGGGAAAGTTATTTTCTTCATTTCTTTAATATAGCTAATAATACCTAAATCATTAAAATCCTAGACATCGGAGGTACAAATATGAAAAAATTACTTATTTGGAAAACTCTAAATAAAATGTTCTTACCTGAAGTGGCAGACGGTCATGGCTGTTATTGAAGTCATTGTCAAAAACTATAGCAGCCAGCACATTATGAGACTTAAAGTCATAGAGAATGTAATTCTCAAATTCAGTTTCTGAAGAAAAGCCTCGAACTACAGAGAGACAAAATTGTCCACTTAAATAAATAAAAAAATTTTGATAACCCCTCCTATTTGACAAGAGGATATTATTTTACAATAAAAGCCTTTTCAAATATCGTAAATTTCAAAATACCATTTCTCACATGTTGGCATCACAATTCCTATGGATATTTGGCAAACAAAACAGTTTTAGGATGATAATATGTAGAGTATCCCAAACTAGGCTGGTGAGAAATGTATTCATGTTAGAACATTCACTCTATAAGCTAAGTGATGTATGTACAAAATAAAATACATATAAATTTTACTATAATTTAAAATAACAGTATAAAGCATATAGACAGGTAAGTCATTACTCATCAGAAAAATATAAATCAAAATCACAGCGATATACCATTTTATACCCACTGAAATGTATATAATCAAAAAGATAGATGATAATAAGTGCTTGAGAAGATGCAGAGAAATTGGAAACTCTGAACAATGCTGACACATGGTATATAAAAGGTACAGCAACTTTGGACAACTGTCTGGAAGTCCCTTAAACTAGAGTTACCATATGATTTATTCATTCCACTCCTAGGAAGATAGCCAAGTGAAATGAAAATACACGTCCACATAAAACTTGTAGACAAATGTTCATAGCAATTATTTGACTTATTTATAATAGTCAAAAAGTGAAAAAAATCCAACATATCCATCAAGTGATGATGAATATACTGATTGAATGCAGTACATCCATACACTGGAACATTACTCGTCAGTGAAAAAGAATAAAGTCCTAGTGAAACATGCTGTAACATGGATGAACTCTGAAAACATGTTAAGTGAAAGATGTCTACTACAAAAGGCTACATACTGTATGATTCCATTTATATAGAAGGTTTACAATAGGAAAATCTATAGAGGAAGAAAGTATAGTAGATTAGTGTAGATCTGGTCTGAAGAGAAAAAGGAAGTTCTTCAGAAAGAAGGAAAATGATACGAGAAGAAATATTGTAACTTCATGAATGCAGGAAGAGCAATAGCTAGAGTTGCATAAATAGTTTTATATCCAAGTAAATATTTTTCTCTTGTGAAGTTCCTTAAAATATACATGTGAGTTAAAACATTTTCTGGTGAATTTTTCAATTTATGTGGATTTAAAGCTACAACATAAAGAGACAATGCAAAGGGATCTACATTGTGGCAAGGGTTTATCAATATTAAAATAAAAAAAAACTGTAAAATGGGATCCAGCAGATGACACAGTGGCTATGTTGCTGGATTCCCATGTAGTCCATCACAGTTCGAGTCCTGGACCTGGAGATCTGAGACTTATGCTGGGTGATTGTGCATGTGTGCCCAAGATCCTGGGAGGAGAATGTAGGAGAAGGGACTGAGGTGTAGCCATCCACCCTGGAGGGTGATTTCTTGCTTTCTGTCTCTCTGGTGAGCGCATGTGCCTTATAGCAAAAAAAACAAAACAAAATAAAAAACAACAACAAAAAAACAGTAAAATGTTAGTTCTATGCAGACTGTGGAAAATTAGGTGTGGATATTTTAATCTCAAGAATGATCATTAATAGTATTATATAAAAAGTCAAATTTACCCATTTCTTTTCCTTTATGAACCATGATTTGGGGGCATGTCTTGGGATTCTTAAACTAGCTCTATGTTATAAAGAGTTCCTATGTTCATTCTGAAATGTTTTGCCATTTTACATTTATATTTATGATCTACTTTGATTTAATTTTTGTGTAGGATGTGAGCTTTTGTTGTTTTACTACTGGTATTCAAATGTTTTTGCAGCATCTGTTGAAAAGGTTATCCTTTTATTAACTTATTTTGTACCGTTATGAAACATTATTTTGATATGTCAGTGTAGGTCTTTTTCTGGATTCTCTATTCTGCTTCATTGATCTGTATGTCTCCCTTTCTATCAATACCAGGCTGTGTAAATTACTACAGTTAACATTTTAATTCTTAAAACTGAGAAGTATAATTATCCCAATTTTATTCTTTGCAACACTGTTTCAGTTCTTCTGAAAACAATGTTTTACAGAAAATCTTAATATCTAACCTTTTATACTGATGTTAAGATTCCTCTTCACGTTCTCAGTGATTTCTTTTACCACTTCAACAGAAGGCACATAAATCAATTCCCATTCACTGGGATTTTCAAGGAAAGAAGGCAGAGTACTGATGGGTTGAGAATTGAAATGATAAGGTCCAGTAACCTTTATGCTAGTAAGTACACGGAATATCGAAAGCATTATTCCAAATACCAATGCTGCAAGGACTTCCAATATTAAATTAATGAAATGCCTCCTCTAGAAGAGGAACAAAAAGATGGTGTCAATTAACTTAGGAGCACACATTCAATGTAAACGGTAGTTCCATTATATTAAGCTTCTGCCAGTTTTACTCTGGAAGAGCCAGTGTTTCCTAGACGATTTCAAGCCTCCCTTCCACCCCATTTCCTATAGGTCAGACTATAATATTGATTAATTCAGTTTTATAGATTTGGAAGAGCTACTCTCAGCTCTGGGAATGGATTTTCAAAAGTACACACACATACACACCATGGTTCAAGTTCTGGATTTTCAAAAGTACACATACACAGCAATGCAACAAATGGGTACTTATGGTCATTCTCCATGGCTGTGTTCACCTACCTTCAAGATAAAATTTTTCCAGAGGAGTACTGCAAATTGGTTGAGTGCCAATGAATTCATTCTTCTATAGAGAGTGTGTGTTCAACTCTAGGGAAGGAAGAAAGTTTTTTTTGTTGTTTGAAAGTTAAATGATTTGATAATGTAAATATTAACCAAATAAGGTTACTTCTTTATTCTACTTTTCTCCTTAGACAACCTCAAAAAGTGATAGTAGATAATGTATTTGAAATATAAAAAATTGTATTGCTCCTATTTTTTCTATTAAATTACTTAATAGTTAATGAAGTTCTAGTATGTATAAAATCTAGTATGTATAAAACACCAGCAGGTGGCATGGTGGTTAAGGCTCTGGATCCCCACTTGGCAGACCACGGCTAGAGACCCAGACCCAACAGATTGAAAATCATGCTAGGCACAGTGTATACATGCTCAAAATCCCAAGAAGACGATAGAGGAAAAAGGATTGCAGTGTGGCCGTTCCCCCTGGGGGGTGATTTCTCACTTTCCCTCTCTCTGTCCTCTCTGGTGTACACATGTGCCATATGACAAAAAATTTTTTAAAAAAAAACAGGAAATAGAGAAATGAATATCAGTAAGATATAGTTTCATTTTTCCAGGTATACATGGCATAAAGCTAAAAGGATCTGATTTTCTTTATTCCGGTTTTCATTAAAATTGTTCTTAAGGTATTAAAAATAAGAAAGCAATTATTACACTATTATAACAAATTATGAAAAAATCAAGTTACTGGAAAGAATCAATATTTTTTTTCAGATGCTCAGAGTATAAAAACCCATCCACAGTACTGATGGGTGAACAGGCTTAGTCATAGTTACAATAATATTTATTGCGTATTTACTATGTGTCATGTTCTTTGCTAGCTAATACTTAGTATAAGATGGTAAACACATCAGAAAAACAAACACCATTCAAGAGGTCCTCATGTGATAATTATAAGGAGTAGGTATCTGTTATGAATCTACTCTCTGCAGATGGACCTTCTGGAATGGCTGTGTAGAGGTCAGTGGACCTTGGGACCAGCAGTTAGCATAATGGCTATGTTGCTGGATTCCCATGTAGTCGACCACACTTTGAGTTCTGGACCTGGTTGCTTAAACTCATGCCAGGCGCCTGTGGTGCATGCCCACGAGAGAATAGTGGAGAAGGGCTTGTGGTGTGGCCATCGCCCTGGGGGGTGATTTCTCACTTTCTGTCTGTCTGTCTGTCTCTGTCATTCCAGTGAGTGCATGCACCCTATAGCAAAAACCTCTCAAAAAAAAAAAAATATATATATCACATGACCATCTTGATAGATTTAAAAAGCAATTTAAAAAGCCCAGCACTCATTTGTAATAAAAATTCTCAATGAATTAAGAATAGAAGGGATTTATCTTAATGCAATAAAGCCCATATGCGAAAAGCCCACAGCTGATGTTATAATGGTGAAAAACTGAGAGCCTCTCATCTAAGATACACAACAAGGCAACATCCATTTTGCTATTCTATTCAACACAGTACTGAAAGTCCTACCCAGAGCAATTGGGTAAGTTAAGAAAAACAAAAAAGAGCATTTAAATAGGAAGGGAAGAAGTAAAATTATCTCTGTTGGCTGATGATATGATTACATATGTAGAAAATCCTAAAGACTGAAACAAACAACGTTTAGAATAAAGAAATTCAAATGCAGAATCAACCTAGAAAAAAACATTTGCATTCCTAAACACTAATAATAAGCTATCTGAAAAGGAAGTAAAAGTAATAATCTCATTTGCAATAGCAACAAAAATAATAAAACATGTGGAAATAAGCCAAAGTGGTGAATGACTTGTACACTGAAAACTGCTGTATTTTAAGATTTAAATTTTTTTTCAGCTTTAATGAAGTATAATTAACAAAAAAATGAATAGTTACTGTGTAAAATGCCATGTTTTGATATACTCTGAAATTGTCCACAAATCAGCTAAAAAACCTATTCATAATCCAACATACTTATTTTTTTTAAGTATGTGGCTAGAACACTTAAGATCTACTCTTGAAAAATTTTACATACAAAATACAGTGCTGTTAACTATTGTCACTATGTTTACACTAGATTACCAGAACGTATTCGTTTTAAAACTGAAAGTTAGTACTCTTTTACCAACATCTCAACTATGTGTCTCCATGCCCTGTCCCTGGCAACTACCCTTCTAATTCTACTCTTTTTTTTTTTTTTATGAGTTCAGCTTTTTAAATATTACATGAAAAATTAGGTTATATGGTATTTGTCTTTTCTCTGTTTGTTATGTCAATTAGAATAACACCCTTGGGAAAGAATGTAGGGAAGGGAATTAGGGAGAAAAACAGAGAAGTAAGATATTTGTGGGATGCAAACATGGTTTATTATCTGTTGATGATAACATGTATAGTATTCTCAACTGGACTGGTCTGAGAAGTATCTCATGTTATGTAAATTTTCTCTACAAGCTAAATTATGTCTATTAATTGAATATATAAAGTAATAATAATAAAATGAATTGAGTCCTCCAATTCCATCTCTAGGTTCCTGGCCAGCAAGGGAAACTGAGGCAGGGGCACCACTGCCCCGGCCCACTTCCAGGCTTCCAAGACCAGGACCCCTCCCCCTTTAGAGGTAGGCAGGATTTTATTTTTTTTTTCTTTGTTCTTCCTTTTTCTTTTGTTAATACCCTCCTATCCCTTGTCCCACAGACTGGCCCTTGCTCTGCAGGAGCCCTCTAGTTCCATCTCTAGGTCCCTGGCTAATGCATGGCATGCAAATTTTTCTTTATTCTCCTCTATACTCTTTTCTTTCGTCTTATACTATCCTGTCTTCCTCATTCTCTACCCTGTCAGAGGGATCAGACAGATTTAGAATCACGGTTCTGAAATTCCCTAGTATTGTAAGGTTCCCTGAGATCCTCCCCTATACTGAACCACCTGTGAATACAAAGATAGTACTCTTCAGACACCTGAGTAGAGTACACCTCTTGAGACCACATTGCTAAAAACAACAGGAGAGAGACTCTTTCTCTGACATTTTGATAACATCCTCAGATTTGGGAAACACACTTGCTCCTAGTTGAAGAAACGTTCTCCTAAGAGGTACTCAAAAGTGAATACATCTTCCAATGGCTAGAAGTAGAAGAAGAGCCTCAGGTCTGAATAAGCCAGGAAATATGTCTCCATCAAAGGAAAAGACTAACTCCTCTCCATCTCTCCTAAAATCTGAGGATGTTATCAAAATGTCAGAGAAAGAATCTAGAACATTCATGTTGAACAAATTCTGAGTTGGAACAGAAAAGAGACAACGGACTATAGGAGATTAGGAAGACCTTCCATGATATGAAAGAAGAAATGGACACTCTGAGAAAGAATCAGAAGGAGCTATTAGAGATGAAGTCTGTAATACAGGAAATTAAAAACTCTCTTAAAAGTATTAAAAGTCAATTAGACCATGCAGAAAATCGAATCTCCAATGCAGAAGATAAAACCTCTGACCTAGAAAAAACCATCAAGAAGATAGAGAAAATAACAACAACAAAAAAACGAGGATAATATATGAGAAATACTAGATTCCATAAGACGCCCAAACATCAGAATAATTTGGCATCCCAGAAGGTGAAGAAACTAATAACTGCATGGAAAATCTATTCCACAAAGTTCTCTGAAATCCTGGAAGAAAATTTCCCAAGTCTAGAGAGCACTAAAGCATCCAGACCCAAGAAATAGAAAGGACCCCAAATAGACTCAACCCCAGAAGATTTTCCCCAAGGCACATCTTAGCCAGACTGTCCAAGACCACAGATAGACATGATACTAAAACTGGCAAGAGAAAAACGACAAGTGATTTACAAAGGTCATCCCATCAGGCTAACACTGGACCTCTCAGTGGAAACAATGCAAGCAAGGAAAGAATGGGAAGATGTACTGAAAGTGTTAAGAGAGAAACAGTTTCAACCAAGATTATTATACCCTGCAAGATTATCCTTCATATGGGAAAAAACGATTA